TCAGTACTAGTTTCTTCCTTCTCTTTTCATTATTTCTCTACCTCCCATCAGCTGCCATATCCCAGGCCATGCCTCTAAAATCCGCCCCTCGTCTGCCCACCCACCTCCACCCATCTCAAGTCCTTGTCTCTCACCAGTATCCTAATTGATCTTCTTTCTATTTCATCCACTTTCACCAACTTCTAGGACCCCCCATGACACAGCCTGTACTCAGATGCCAGATATACCATATGTCAACCTTCCTTACAAGAAAATCTCGTGGATAACCATTCAAAGCAGTGTCAGATAAGTCCCACCTAATTACCTCGCATTTTCATCTTTCACTACCACCACATTTATCCTCTCTTCCAGGCTAGGAATTGGCTTTGGTCTCTAATTATATCTCCTGATTCCATATTTTCTTACCAGGTAAAGTTCATGCTTGGAAAAACTTTCCCTCTTCTCAGATCTGCAATCACTTGTCAGTCCAAACATGTCCCACCGAAGTTTGTTTTAGAATTATGCTAATATTATACAGTAATAGCTGATTGAAGTTGAAACTATGGGAAGTATGTAAAGTTTTAATAACCTTTTCATGAAATAACCTATTTATTCCCCTTACAGTATCCCATGGTCTACACTAGACTTTAATTAGATGATGATATTGTCCCTGTTGAAGGGCCTGCAGTCAACAAGACAGGCAGACAAAATGTATATGAACAGAACATTTGGGTTTTCAAAGCCCTGGTCGAGTGTTACCTCCTTCCTGGAGCCTCTTCTGATCACTCGCTCACAGCTCTAAAATTTGTAGTTCTTTATTTACTCCTTTCTTGAGCCACGTTGGTGTTTGTCTGTGATGGCTGTTACTTTGTCTTATCCACTCTAGACTGTAAACATACCATGGGTCGGGACTGAGGTTCATTTATTTATGCTTCTCAATGCCCCGCACAGTACCTGGCACACACAATAGATTAATTGCGGTTATCAATCAGATAAAGTTAAATTGAATGCGTAATTGATATTGTGGCCCATATACTTGAGAGCTTTAAAAATTCAGATATGAGGCAAGTGGGGATGTGGTAGAATTAACATTTGTTGGGGGATATTTAGTGAACACTGGCCTTTCTTGGAATTACAGAAAATGAAATGATAAAGAGATTATGGATTATGGTTTACTATAAAGACAATTATAGCTATAAGCAAAAATCTAGAGGAAAGAATAAACTTGAGGGGAAAGGTAAGGAGAGAGGGTTA